CATAACAATCATGTCAGTATACTCATTAGCAGTATACTCTGCCATTATTTTAATTTCTTGAAAGATATTTCACGAAACATGCACGGCGGATGATAGGCACTTATTGTTGCGGAGCTACAAATAACGAGGTTAAAAGAAAACCAATAACAAATAAATGTTGTTAAATTTTTACGAACGTATTCTTTCAAACTCTTGTGCCGCGGATCGTCTTTATGCGAAGCGATTTTTCGGGCATGAGTGACATCTTGAATAATTTTGAAATGTATCCGATGCACCAGAGAAACAGAAGCTCTTCTATTGAATCGGCGAAATGCTGGTATGCATCGCGTGGACGATGAAGAGATGATCATGAGAGCGTTCGAGAAGAAAGCGTGCGCAGTGTGGTTCGGATGCTCGGTCTCTCGCAATACATGATGCACCGTACTCTACGCCACAACGGGTTGCACCTGTATCATTATCAGCGAATGCAGCAACTTTTAGCGGGAGATCATAAACAGAGCATCTACTTTTGCGAAGATATTATTATCTTTATTTAATGTTTGCGTTATTTGTAGCAAATATGATATTAATGGTGAAATATATGCGGTGTATCTCGCTCAATATCGGCGGAATAATTTTTTCCCCCATATTATGTACGAACGAAGCGACTTTTACACCAAACAGCGTATTTAACAGTAACTTCTTAAAATGATAAAAAGAAAACCCACACGCCATTAATTGTCAGGGCGTATATCAATATCGATGGTCAATAAATGTGGGCAGGAATAATAGCGGATCAAATTTTAAATCGATTTTTTCATTGTTAGTAAGTTAAAAAATTTTATTTTGCAGTTTTAATAACTTAATTTTGGCAATTTTCAGATCAATTCTTATTTCTCATCTCGTTTAAATAAAAAGGTATACATAAATTTTCTACAAAATGAGTTGCTCTTCTCGAAGATGTTCCTCTTCGCATAAGAGATTTTCCAGCATGACGATGCTCCTGCACGTTTCTCTCGATAGATCCGCAAATTTTTAAACGTACATTATCTCGAAAGATGGACATTTTGAGCAATTTTAGCCATTAAAATATGAGAGTCGATTAGACCTATTGGGGATACCACTTTAAAAAAATGCGCCGTGCTATCTACCGCAAGGTGGTGCGGAAATGACTTCGTTTCGTCGCGCGCATAGTTACCGCGATGGCGCGTGGGCCGTCCTTTCCCGCTACGCGCTAATATTCCCGCGCATTGGCCGATCTTTTTTAATTAATTTCTCAAAAATTATTGCGAAAATAGCAAAGTGGTACAGGACTTTTCTCTTCATTTTTAACTGCTCTACCTGCACACGACCGGTGATGCGATTGACGCCGGACACCCTGTATGTTGCGAACATGACTGTTTCTAATATACATACACCAATGTACGATTTTTTCGGCTTCTAATTGTTTCTCAATATGGCCTTTAATTTTAAGCTTTTTTACAATATCTTTTATAAATATTTCTAAAGAATGACGAAATTTCATAGAATTCCTTGACCAGAATTTTTTATATTTTTTAGTAATTTTTTTGGTAATGTCAAGATTTTTTACTGAGGGTACAAGTTCTGTCTTTTTTTTGATAATATCGTTTGTTATAAAGCCATTTGCGATCAGGATCCATATTTTTTTGTCTATCTCGTTCAGGCTGAGGGTTTATAGAATAACGTATGAGTGTTTGTTCACGTTGTCTTACAGAATCCTGCTGATATCGGCATCGTTTCTTAAAACGATTATTTTCCAAATCTTGTTGATATCGATGTCGCTGCTTAGCACGATTATTTTCCAAAATTTCTAAATCTTGTTCATATCGACGCCGCTTTTTACAGCGAATATTTTCTAAATCCTGTGTTTATTGTCGTTGTTTAGCGCAATTGTTTTCCAAATCTGTACACTGAGTGGAGGGAGGTTATATTTCTGTGCAACTATTGCTTAATTCTTTCTTAGATCGATGAATATCAGCAGCTTTTTTAACCGATTTACTTTCTGTTACTCAGTCTCAGCATTATATTGCAGCATTGTACGGGCACGAGCAGCTTCCATTTCTCTAAATTTCACTACTGCTAATGGAAGCACTTTTTAACGAACACCATATTGTAGATCTTGAGGAAAATGTTCAATTATATTTGATTCAAAAATTTTTATTAAATGTAAACGCATTAAACTATGGTTGTATTTCACTTTCTCAGGTTTAATATTAAATAATAACGAAATCGCAAATGCTATTGCAAAAACACCACAATCGTTACCATTTGGTTGATGTCGCACAGGAAATGTTGATAGGAAATTTAATAAGACATTTCTCAAAATCGTATGTTGGAAATAATCTTCTTAAGAACTGTTCATGATGCTCATGCAGTCTTTTAAAATTTAACGAATCATAAATAAAAATATTTTTTGTGTTATAGTCACTGCATACCCAATGTCCATCAAACTGACCTGATGAACTATGCAAAATTTGAATATGCTTTTTATCTTTTGGCACAGGTCGTATTATATCAAGACATTGCAACCGCCTGTTTTGACAGGTCTATAATCTGAACAACTTCTTAAAAGATGTATGAAATGATCCATATGCACATCTGTCAACCATAATTATATCCTTTTCTGCAGGCATTAAAACTAGATCTTTCTTTAGCTGCACAAACATTTTATTTAAAATTATTTAAAATTTATTAAAATTTACAGGCGCACAGCAACCTTTTTTTGCAGACGCACAGCAGCCTTATTTTGCAGGCGCACAGTAGCTTACCTTTACAGGCGCACAGCAGCCTTATTTTGCAGGCGCACAACAGCCTTTTTTTGCAGGCGCACAGTAGCCTTTCTTTGCAGGCGCACAGCAGCCTTATTTTGCAGGAGCACAGCAACCTTATTTTGCAGGCGCACAGCGGCCTTATTTTGCTGGCACACAGTAACCTTTTTTTGCAGGTGCACTGCAGCCTTTTTTGCAGGCGCACAACAGCCTTTCTTTGCAGGCGCACAGAAGCCTTTCTTTACAAGCGCACAACACTCTGTCACGAACGTAAAGCAATTTTATGTATGAAATATAAATATACGAGGGCTGTATGATAAGTACCCGTGTTTAGCGCCACTGACTCAAAATCTGTATACCATCGTTTAACGCTATTTTTCGAACGACGCTTGTCAAAATTTCAGACAGATTTATCGAGTAGTTTTATTTTGATAGCTGTTGAAAGTGGGCAAGTTTGTGTTTGTTTGCAACCATGGAAAAAGAGCAATATCGGTCAGTGATTCGATTCCTTTTTTTGGATGGGAAGATGTGTGAGGAAATCAAAGTGAAGTTGCATGTCGTTTATAAGGACCATGCACCTTCGATGACTACCATCAGATGTTGGTTCAATGAATTCAAGCGTGGCCGAACATCCGTTTTTGATGAAGAGCGCAGAGTTCGACAAATCATATTTTTTGGATGGCTTAAAAAATTTGGAATATTTCTGGACTAAATGTATCGAGCTGCAAGGAGACTATGTTGAGAAACAGATAAAAAAAATTTTTTTAAATGCGTTTCCTTCCCTAACACGGGTACTTATCATACAGCCCTCGTATTATATTTACTTACCGCTTAACCTGGACACCTTCCTAAAAGAAAAAAATTATTTTAAAGACAGGTTCGAAATCCCAAAGATATTATTGTAATTATATTTTATTTTAACTTTATTGCAAATATACAATGTACATTTGATTACCGTAGCAGACGTATCATAATAATATTATTATTATATGTCTCTCTATAAATATATATTAATAATTTTTTTAAATCTTTTGATCTTATAAAATCATTAATTTTTTGAAGTATATCTGTTACATTGTTTTAATTATTAGATTCGTTGAATTATTTAAATTAATTGCACTATATTTAGAAACATTTATATATCTCTGTTGCTTTCGAAGATAAATATGATGAAACAAGTTTTTCTTCAAGATCGATAAAGGAACTATATTTTCATTTTACATAAATCGATTTTCGCCATTATTCTAATTGTAAATAAGAAAGTATAAAATAAAATTTTACACAAAATATAACTATAATTTATCACACATTTTATTGAATAAATTTATTTAAGAAAAAATATGTAAAAATATTTGTAATGTATTTTTTTTTAAAACAATTATGCATTTTCTTTATACCAACTGATTTCTCTCATTACTCTGTACTTAAAAGTGTTACGGCAAGATTACCGAAAATTAAATATTTTGAGATATTTCATATCAAAATATGTCGGATATTATCTGTATAAAATCATATTAAGACATAAAATATCTCGTAAACCATTCAATTTTTGCTCATTCTACCCTTATACCTTTTTATGCAGAAACCTTGAAAAATGATCTGAGTTAAAAGGTCACAAACTTTTTCCCCTTAAAATCTTATTTTGTCTGAAACATTTTTTACTAAAATGTGTATTTTCCGAGATTATTTTTAAAATACATATACATTAAGTTATAATATAAATAGCAGTTAGAGTAGTTAAATAACTCGAAAATATTTTATTCACAATTTAAAATGTAAAATATATGCACCTGTAATATACAGGGTGTCGCAGCGTTTATCCGACAAACTGCGGAAGGATATTCTACAAGTGGAACATGAAATAATTAACAACGGATTTTCCATTATGCAGAATATGAATGAAACGATTTAGTAACGTATTTCAAAATGTTGTTCTTGCGCGACTATGCAAGCTTGACATCGATGTAATATGGAATTTATTACAATACAAATTTCCTGAGAATTTTGTTGCATCTCAGTAATTGAATTATTAATTCGTTGCATTAAATCTTCATACAAAGTTACTTCTGTACTATAAAACTTATTTTTTAATTCTCCATAAATAAAAATCAAAAGGCGTTAAATGGAAAATCCGTATTTACTTATTTTATGTTCCGTTTCAATATTTGCTTATAACTTTGTAATAAAGCATTTCTAGCCAAACTCCATATAATATTTTTTTCTTATTTTTACTTGTAGAATATCCTCCCGCAGTTTGTCGGATAAACCCTGGGACATCCTGTATATGTACCTTTAATATTTGTTTATATTTCTGTAATATATACAGGGTGTTTCAGAGCGACCATATCAGCAGTTTTTTTGAAAAAACAACGCATTTTCGTGAAAAATGTTTCATGCAAAAGTTGTAGAGCTCTAAGTGGCGCATTATATAATAATATTAGTATGACCTTGAATAGCACCATCAAGGTCACATAAAAATCACTTTGAGTTTTTTTAATGGAACCCCCTATTTTTCATTACATATTCTTGTAGCTTACCTCGAAAGCTTTCCAAAACACTATAATTAAATTATTTTTCATTAAGTACTTTTTGAATTACAGAAGCTTAAATGTTATGATACCGCCGGCATTAGCATTACCCAAGGTGTACCGCGTGGAGGTTGCACGGTCGGATTTACGCCTCTTTGTGTGTGTGTGTGTGTGTGGGTAAGTGTGTGGGTGTGTGTGTGAGTGTGTCAGTAAAGATAAGGATCCCACGGTTCGTCACTCCCGTAGTATTTAAAGACTCCAAACCCTCATTATTGTGTATGTGTGTGTGTATGTGTGTGTGTGTATGTGTGTGTGTGTGTGTGTGTGTTTTGTGTGTGTATGTATGTGTGGGTGTGGGTGTGTCGGTGTGTGTGAGTGTGTCAGTAAAAATAAGGATCCCACGGATCGTCACTCCCGTAGTATTTAAAAACTCCAAACCTTCTTTACTGTATATGTGTGTGTGTGTGTGTGTCAGCAGAAATAAGGACTTCAAACTCTAGGTGTATTTTCTAGCGCTGCCCCTCTGAAACACTTCTGACTGTCTTCTAACACCGTTATCACCGATAGCTTCTTCGTTGTTGAACACGATAATTAAAATAATGTGTTAAAGAAATTGAAAGAAGAATGCAAATAATTCATATAATTCACAAATGCTCAAATTGCCTTCCATTGACCTCCAAACATTTTCGAATTCGCCTTGGAAATGAAGACAAGGCATTCAACAATTCTTCTTTGATTTTTCTGCATGCTTCTTTAATTTTTTCCTTCATGTCATCCCGTGTTGTTGGTTTTGAAGCATAAACCAATTTTTTGATTCGGCCCCAAAAGTAAATCCAAGACTGTGAGATCTGGGGATCTTGGTGGCCAGCTTACTGGTCCATTTCTCCCGATCCATCGGTTAGGAAACGTTTGGTTAAGAATCACTCTAACTCTTCTGGCATAATGGGCTGGGCTGCCATCTTGCTGGAACCACATGTTTATTCTCACGTTTAAAGGCACGTCCTCCAGGAACTGTGGAAAGATATTCAATAGGAAGTCCTCATAAACTTCTCCATTTAACGTCCTTTCGAAGAAATGTGGACCAATGATTTTGTTACCCAAAATACTGCACCATGTATTCAGACTCCATACATGTTGGTTATCAACTTCCTTCATCCAATGTGGATTCTGCTCGACCCAATAATGCATGTTATGCAGATTTACGTTTCCATTATTGTTAAAAGTGGCTTCATCAGACCACAAAACTTTGTGATGAAAAAAGCGATCAATTCTGAGCTGATTCTCCCAAGAGCAGAAGTTAATGCGATTTTCAAAATCATTCTCCTGAAGAGCCTGATGCAAAGTTAAATGATAAGGATGCATTTTTGCTTCCTTTAAACAGAGTCGCCGTCGTCGCCGTCGCCGTCGCCGTCCTGGCCCCGGCCGCCGTGGCCCCAGCCGTCGTGGGCACGGCCGTCGCCGACCCGGCCGTCGCCGTGGGCCTGGCCGGCATCGCCGTCGTCACCGTCGCCGTCGCCGATAACCCGGCAGGCCTATGGTCCGGCAGGCTAGTCGCACTTCGGGCTGAAAACAAAAAAATGACGTAGCTAGTTTGGCCGTTAGATGTTTTGGATATCCAAATTGCTGGCTCCTTGCCCCTCCAAGGTCTTCCTTGTTTGGCGATCGTATTTTCCGTGACGCTGTGGAAAACAATGTAATTGTTTGCAATAATTAACGATTATAAAATGTAA